AATAAATATGTTTTTTTTTTGTAATGTCTAGAAATCCTCTTTTGTTTTACAATCTTGTTAAACCTTCTGCTTTTGCCCTTTGTCAACGTTTCAGTCCCAGAGAGTGAAACGACAAAGGAGCATTTGCACATTATTAAAGTTCCTTTCTCCAACCAGCATGAAAAGCGTTTACGTCTCCTGCTGAAACGAGGCTGATGGATTTGAAGGAAACAGTAAATGGATGGATGGCGCACGCTGTCAGTGCATTAGTATGTTGACGACAGGCTGGAGAGGCACACCCAGCATGTACGGTAATCACACAATGAGTTTAAGTGCCTCCACTCTGACACACGAACACTGCCGCTATCCGTCGCCCTCGGGTCTGAACACACACACACACACACACACACACACACACACACACAGAGGAAAGTTATTTACATTTTGAAGGATAATAGGAACCGAAGGCAGACAGACTCCTGCTGAGTATCTAAATGCATCTGGAAAATAGTGACGACAAATCATACAAAAAAAACAAACAAAAAACCAATGAAATGTAAATTAAAATCCATTTTGACGCTGTGCTGCCACAGACAAGTGAAAATATGATGCCTTTCAAAGAGTATTCATACACCATTAATGTTTCAATTTTTCTGATTAAACTTACAAATGTAAATCTTATTGTTTTTGTGTTAATACTATTGGATTCTTAATAGTGAAATGGAAAGAAAATTATATGTGTTTTTTTTCTTTAAACATTATTTACAAATTAAAGCCAGAAATGTGTTAAAAGCATTTATGAAGGGAATGGGGTTGTGATGTCACACCTCAGCTTTTTTTTTTTTTCCATTTTGGGGATTAAAATGGGTATTATAACTGGTTAGGACTTTGGGAGATTCACAGTTTTATCAGATAAGGTCTGAAGTTTATGTGCACTGAGGTAAAGGCCCCAGTATTTACCAAAGGACATAGTTTTGATTTGAAACAATGATTTTATTTTATTTTTTGTTTCGTTTTGCTCTCCATCTCATTTCCCTGCACAGAACTGGGAAAAGGGCTGTTGTTTATTCAGCTCCATTTACATGAAACATGTTCCAAAAAGTCTGGAAATGAACTGAGCACTTTTAAGACTAATAGCTCTAGAGATGAAGTCTTTAAATAGTTATTGTTTTGAATAACTATTTGTATTGCATTTTAATTATATAACTACTAATTAAAATGCTGAACTCCCTTGAAAAAGAGGTTTTTTAATCTCAGTGGGACTTTCCTGGTTAAATAGAGTAAAATAAGATTTGAAGGAAACAGAAAATTCCTCATTTCAAATTTACATAGTTTTTTTTTTTTTGCCAGCATTTGAAACAGGCAGTGGTAACCATCACTACGGTGCTTCAAAGTGATGGTGATAATAACACATTCCTCCATAAAGTTGTGACTGATGCTACGGCTTTAGCCTTAGCATCAGTGTTGAAACACCATTAATATCACAAATACACTAACTGTGAAAGCTGTGAGAGACGGACAGGATGTCATGTTGACCGGAAGCTAATTTGGACCCAATTAAACGTCTTATTTTGCCATGACCACAGGCTGTAGTCTCTTACTGGGGATAAATACAGCAGTCCTTCCCCGAGTTCTCACTCCACGTTCTCTTTCTTCTGTTTTTCTGTCACTGTGCCTCTCTGATTACCATTTGCAAAAAGAAAAAAAAAACAAAAAAACTGTTCAGTGGAATTGACAGGAAACCTCTAACAAGCCCAGAATCCAACACTGTACTGTTCAGCTTTGCAAAACCGTTCAAGCTCAGGACAATTCAATAAGGAATGTGTGAATATCAATGTTCAAGTTCTCAATCGTATTTAAGTCTAGACTTCATCTAGGCCAGTCTAGCACACGAGTGTACTTTGATTTGATTAAATTATAGTTTTGCTTACAATCATGCAACACGTCTCTGTTATTATCCAAATACAATTGGTGGTTAACCTGAAAATGTACTCATTAAAAACTTCCCAGTTCTTGCAAAAACCCTCAGCAAATATCAAATTAGATAAACAAAGGAAGCAGCTTCTCTATTACATACTTAATTTAAATGCTTTTGCTTAACTTTTGAAAACATTTAGTACAACCTAAACATCCTGATCCTTGATTAAAGAAAATATCTTTAAATTGATCAGAGGCATTTATTAGTCTCTTGCTGAAGGTGATAAAAGCAAATCACTGTTTGCCTAAACACCCCAACACGTCCTGATATCTATTGCAAACAGGGAGAGGATCTCTCCACTCACACAGCGCCACAACTGTCTGCAGCATCCAATTAATCTCCTGAGAAACAAAGCGAGGGCTTCTAATCAACACGGAGCAGGGAACAATCTACAGTACCACAAGCGTGGTGTTAGCAAGCAGATAAGGCAGATAAAGCTAGATGCGTTACTGACGAGCAGAAAATGTGATGCTGGTCGACTCCCGCACAGTGGTGCTGCCACTAACCACAGACAGAGACGATTAATAGCAGGGGATTTTACAGAGTTTCTGATGAGCACAAACATTTTATTATTTCAGGCAGTCTGTGAATACTGATCAAATCTGAAGTCATATTTGTTTCTAAAAATATATAGCCTCTGGTGGTAAAAAACTGACTAAACTCCGACAAACTACAGGGTGGGTGTTAGGTTTCCATACATAGAAAAAGTAAACATTGTATGCTGGATAACTGTTTTTATTTTTGTGGGACTCTGTGTAATCGCTGCATGTCTTGGACCACTTTGTGGTTGATCTGCAACATTTCCAGTTTTCTGGAACTTGCAAATAAGTTTAGCCACAGTGTCGTGTGTGTGAGACGCTCGTTCCATGTTTCCTGTTAAAGTTTCGTGCAACCATGAGACAGCTTCCCGATCCATCCATCAGCATAATTTCAGTTCTTTGCTCTTTTGTCAAACGCATCTTCTTGGGTATCTAAAATGTAAAAGAAATATACATTTTACATTCTCCTGTGTATGGAAACTTATGGCCCCACCCTGTACAGTTATTAGCCTTCCTGGTAAAGTCCCAAAAATAAATATTTTATTGTGGTAACATTGAGAGAAAAAAAAAATATATCCTCACTGGGATAAAAATCCCAGTGTTTTAATGAAATTACTGCTTTTACATTTATTTACCTCCCTTACTGTCCTGCTCAAATGAAACAGTGCAGCCAAATGGCTTGAATTATTTCTGAAATGAAATTAATTATCCTGAACTTTGTCTCAGTATCGTCACTTCAAGGGTTTACCGTCACATGTTACTTCTGTTCTTGGCGTAAATATTTATACATGCAGGTGTTTTTAAATGAGAAATGCTAGTTTATTTCAGCTTTTCTGAACTACCGTCTGTGTGACTTGAGTCCATGTTTTCAACACGACTTGAAAAAGATTTTCTGATTGAGCAAACATCCTCAGGGCAACTGGACTTGGCTGATCGACTCTCTGGGCTCTGGGAAAGTGGGTTCTGTGTACAAACAGCTGCGATTCGTCCTCCAGTTCATTATGGAGACAGAAAACAGGGAGGAAGATAAGAATCATCTTTGTGCGTGTGCTCAGCCACGCTAAAATTCAAATAAGTCGGAGCCTGCGGACGCGTGCGTAAAGGTTTCTGTCAGGAGTGACATTCCTACAGACTGCGGATCGATGTGGCAAATGGGAGCTTCTCTCTTCCTCCCCTCCCTCGCTCGCTCGCTCTTTGCCAGCCTCCTTTCATCCCGCTCTACCCCACCTCTCCCGGGACGAGAATTGCAAAATCAATAGAGCTAAATGGAGTTGCCACGGAAGCCATTGAGTGTCCTTACTAAGTGCAGCAGCTATAAAACCCCTCACTCCACTCTCCCCCTGTTTACCGCTCTCCTCATTCAACAATCTCCACTGCTCCTGTCCTCATTATTCCACACAAAGAAATACAGCAGCTCTAATTCATAGGTCACCCCTCGAATTTCAGAAACTCAAGGATAATGATAAGTAGCAGCGGTAAATCACTGGTGAGTCAGACGCAGAATTATTATGTAATAAAACATCTAAAAAAAGAAAGACGTACAGCTAGAGCTCAGTACGTAAGTCACAACATATAATGCTTGCCTTCATTATTCTTTTATGTACTCAGTACAAGTACATGTCCCTGCAATAAGGGCCGAGTAGCTATGTCTCTGTGGGGAGTTGGTAAAAAGGATTGATTCACTGGATTTCTACTCAACCGTCAGAGGAAATCAGGAAGAATAAAACGCAGGCCTTTTCATGTGTTTAAATGTATTAACAACAAATAATTAGACAAATTTTAGGACATTTAAGTAGACCAATGAAGTGGTTTTCACCAGAGATAAAAAGGTCTTTGAGGAGGAGAGACTGCTGTAAAGTCAGTGATTCAATCTGATTGGCTGTTTTTTTTTTTTTTTTTTTTCTGCACCAATTGTAATAACCCGCTCAAAGCGTTTAAAGCAACTGGATCTGATTTTACCCAATCAGCACCATTTGGCTCAATTTTGAAGGAAGCTACGATGTGAAGCTTTCCGGAAATGGCATGTAGAGCAAACAATCGTCCCTCACTGCAAAGAGAAAAGTGTGAATGGCATCTTCAGTGAATAAATTTGTGCTGGAAAATATAAAGGTTGCATGGCTCCTCTGCCTTATTTCCACTGGAGACTCTCAGAAATGGGCTAATTAGTACAAAAAGAAGCTGGATCATTTTATGTCAGCGACTGACAGCGGCTTGTTTCAAAACATGTAAAATAATATCAAAAGTAACAAGCAAGACTTTTTTTCTTTAATCTTCGAGTCCAAAAAACCCCCCAAAAAAACAACATACTTCCATGTAATAACAGCATAGTTTGTGCCTAAACAATGAGGAAAGTGATTTGGTGGAGAACTGAGGGAAAAGTGTCAAGTCTAATAAAAAAACCATCAACGGGAGGGAAAAAATATTTAAAATTTATGTTTAAAAAATCTGACCTAAGAGACGAATCATCCTTCAGTCGATCATCCTCTGTTTGCCAGGTTTTCATAGAACAGCAACATGGAGTCACCTGGTTTCTGTTATAACATTTTATATTTGTCACTATGTTAATAACTCTTGTATTGGTAATGGGATCAACTAAACAAACGGGAATGAACTTTGTCTTTGTGGAGAAGCTTTCTGCTGACACAACACAGGCTAACCCCTTTTATCTGACAGTTCATACAGAGGTGGTCTTTCCAAAAGACACACTTTTGTTTGAAAATGTTCATGTTCTGGACAAAAACTGGTGTAGACTTTTAAAACTCCGAAAGGGTGAACAGAAGCAAATTAAAAGGAAGTCTGAGTCCATAAAAATGGAGATCAAAACTGTTTATGATTAAACTATTTCAGGCACCAACCAGCGCTCTCGATCGTAGTAACTCGTCTCCGGATGAAGTTTCCGTATCCGACGCAATATTCAGCTAGAACATGAGCAAATGAAGACACACCCTATGCGGTTCTTGCCGTTTGTGTTTGATGTGTGAAATGTAAAAAGTGAAAGTAGTAATATGACAGAAAGCAAAAAAGAAAAAAAAAACATTTACAGAACAAATGACAAGAGAATAATATAACAGAGGAGAGGAGTCTGGAGGTTGTTTGCTCAGAAGGCTGCATTCTGCTGCTTGGATGGCATTTCTTTGTCACGTTCACCTCCAGAGGCTCCAGGGAAAAGAACAGCAGAATGAGAAAAACACTTTTTAATCTACCTTTGACCTAGATCAAACAAATGCCTGTTTGAATGATACACAGGAGGAAAAGGCATTTTGCTGAACCAGTGACCTGCAATAAACCTTTCTTGGTGAGAGCGAACAAACACTGCGACAGACAGTCCAGAGAATATACACTCTGCTGGTTAACTTCACATGAGAAATATGAATTTTTATTCCAAAATAAACTAAAACTAACTTGTAAAGGTATTAACACCCATTGATGCTTTTCTTGTTTTGTGAAATTGCAACCACATATTCGGTGTACTTCAATAGAGATTTTCTAAATTTGTCTCAAGTCTGAAAACTCTAAACAAAATCCAATGCTATTAACTCTCTTTAAAAGTAACCTAACTTATAAATAGAGTTAAACATTGTAAAATTAAAAATGTAAATCTAGGTTTGCTACATAATCATAATGAATAAAAAGCAAACAAGGATCCCAATAGACAGTTCAGAGGTAAAACTGTAGAGAAGCTGAAAGCAGGGTTTGGTTTTATAACAGTGTTGAAAGCTTTACACATTTCACAGAGCACTGTTATATCAGACAAAAAAATAAATGGATAGAGAACTGCGCGACCGCAAAACATGTCATCTACCGAAGCCGATAAGACAGGTAAGAAGAGCGTTAATCAGACAATTAACTCTGAAGGAGAGAGACTGTTGTTATTGATTTGTGGAATCATTAACTCCACAAATCTGACCTTTATGAATGAGTGAGAAAAGAAATAAAATCTACAAGTGTCCAGTTTAGACATTGTCACGAGCTCCATGGGGGACACGGCAGAGATGTTAGAGAAAGTGTGCCACTCAGATGAGACCGAAATGAAACTCGTTGGGACAAATTACACGTTCTAGGACAGTTTCACCATGCAGCACTAAGAAACACTCCTGCTGTGGGAAGGCACTTCTTCAGCAAGCACAGGAAAATGTATATGGAGCTAAATATCCCTGGAGAAAAAACTGTTAGCAGGTGCAAACAAATTGACACTGGGGTGGATGTTGACCTCCCTGCAGGATGATGATCCTACAGACACAAATCAGTAGTTTTTCTGTATACAAAAGTTGTTGTACACAAAAAAATCTCCATCTGATCCGATTATCCTTGAGGTATTGTGCATAGAGAAACTGTAGGGCAAAAAAACAGATGTGCAAAAGTGGAAGTAAGATGCCCTAAATGCGTTGCAGCTACAAATCCATGAAACACTGTTCAAATTTTTATCTGCAAGACAAACTTTGAAAATGATGGATCGTTTTGCATTCACTCCACATTATGCATTTTGGTCTATCACATATAATCCTAATAAAATATACACAAGTTTGTGCTTTGTAGCACATCAAAATTTGAATAGGTTCAAAGAGCACACATAGCTGCTAATCAAGAATCCAAGGTGAAACTCTGGTTTGCAAAACCTTATCACGCAAACAGAAAAGCAAAAAATATCTTTCCTACACGTGCATAATAAGCATCCCGAGAGAAACCAAACAAATCAAGTTTTTAACAGTATTCAAACCATCACACTTAAGCAAACCAAGTAGTAGGAGTATGCAATTGCTATACAGGAGACTTTATCAACTCATTTAAATGTAAACAGTAGAGAATTTATCTGCTCAGTAATTTCTTGGAAAGTTCAAATAAATCTTTAACGTTGGCAGCTCTGCCACGGCGCACCGTCCGCTGCAACGGCGTGAAGAAATGAAGCCAAAGCAGATGCCAAGTCAGAGGACAAAACTCCAGGAAAACTGCCTGCACTGCAACTCCTTTCTTACGCAAGAGAGGCACGGTGCAACATTTGATGGCTTCTTTGTAACCTTCCATAGCTGGTGAGACAACATGATGTGATGCAATGTGCTTTCTCTTAAAAAGGGCTCTAAAGAACGGAAACCGAAAGCTCCACTGCGCAGCGGTTCAAAAACGTCCCAGGTAAATGAAAGATAGCAGCGATCCGCTGCTGGGAGAGCCATTAACCAGAGCTAAATAGACTTTCCGCTCTTGATGTGTGTGTGTGTGTTTTAACTTGTAACGTGGGGGTGTCTGCTGCTCTCTTATCTCCCGCCAGGAGAGGAAGAAAGTGATGGAAGGCCTCTGGTAATTAGAGGGGAAAGCGTTTCCCTTCACTACACAAATAGCGATAGCCCTTCACTTGCTGAAGAGAATCACCCTTGGTTTGAGACTGCAGTCAGATGGGGTGCAGACAAGCCTACACACACACACACACACACACACACACACACACACCCTCCTCACCTGCTCCAGCTTCCAGTGGAACTCAGCGGGTCGGAAAGTGTCAATCTGCGTGAAATCTCTCCTGAGCAGGAACACCAGGCGGCAGTTGTGAACATACAGAGAGTAGTGGTGGCGGTTCATCTCTGCACACACACAGCACACGGGGAAAACAATCATTATGTGCAAAGTAAAACGGAATGCATGCTCATTTTCTGAATCCTCAAGAAAACAAGTCCTCCAAATGAATACTCTTTTTCACTTGACGACTTCTTTACAGTGAAGCCTGCCTAAGAGATCATTAAACGCTTTCAGAAGAGGGGTTTATTTCTCAGAACTCCCCAGTGATTAGCCAATGCTTGTTCTTATATGTCAGAAATATAATCTTTTTGTGAAAAAAAAAAAACAAGCTTTGCTTTAAAGTTCAAAAACACCCATTTTCAAGCAAATAAGCCATCTGTTAGAAAATGCAGATGGTCTGTGTTGTCTAAATGTTTAATTATGTGTTTTAAGCTGTAGCATCCAGATATGAAGAAGGCAGAAAAGTTGCAGAGGACTTGTGCTTGTGGAATGCATTCAGAGCCTAATTATTCAATAGTTTTATAAGGTATTTTAATTATGTTATACTTTGATGCCCCTAATTACAGAGAGGGGAAACATTGAGCTCTTAAGGGGGGGAAAAAAAACTGACCTAAGTTTAAGAAAAGCTATATGCAGATAATGATGTCATATCAAGCTTCAACATCTGAGCGTAACACGAGAGGATTTCCCCACCTGTCTTGTCAGAGTTGCACAGTATGGTTTCCTTCTCAGCTCTAAGTCCCGGACTCGGCCTGTGTTTCATCCACGTTGCTACAGTGAACTGGTCCGTCAGGTTCTGGGGCACCACGTGGTCCGGAACATTTGCAGCCTGGCGCCCGTCAAACCTGTAGATGAGGTCGCTCTCACGCCCGCTGTCGGTGAGGAGGGACGCGGTCCAGTTTGTGGCGGGGCTCGGGGCAGGAAGGAGGTCGGTGCTGCCTGAGGCTGCCCCTGGATGCGCCGGTCAGAAAACATTGACTATTAATCAGAGAAGCGCTCGGAAGGGCCACGGCGACCCTGTAGAAGCTGCAGAGGTCTGTTGCTCAGGTGGGAGAATCTGTTTTAAGGACTAAATTGGAAAAAAGTAAATAAATAAAGCAGGTCTTTTTGGGAGATTAGCAAGATTTTTGGAATCCCTTAGAGAAAGAAAGCCCCATCTGCTACTTAGAGAAGATACAGTGAAGTTTATGTTGGTTATGTGAACAAGTTCATGAGGTACAAATATTTTTGCAAAGTACAAAAGTATTTGTACCTGGGTAAAAATGGATCAAATAAATGTCACATTTAATGAAAGTTTGACATTAATTTGGGAAGTTTAATTTTTTTTTTTAAAGGCTCCTTTAAATAATGTGCAAGATAGAAGTACTATGATGGAAATTGGTCTATTACTCTACTGAGAAGGTTAAGATGTCAGGAGGTTAATTTTATATCTGAATTAAAATTTTATGCAGTCTTAGTTCTTGGCTATCAAAAAGCTCGCCTCTATTTAATTAGAACATTCTCACTTATTTCTGCATAACAATCCATCCTGTCTACTCTTTTTTTCCCTGTTCTTTGTATTTTTCCTTACCACAAAGTTTCTGCAGAGACTTTTCAGAGTAGGTTTCCCGGTCGCAGCCCTTTCCGATGTGATTCGTCTGCAGCTCCACCATGGCCTTCACACCCGACAGCGGGCCGCCGCATGTCTCCAGGTGCATCTTGGGAAAGAGCTGCTTGCTTCCGGTCCCCGGCTCGTAGTCCACTCGCTTGTTCCAGCCTGAAAGTACGACGGAGATTTGAAAAGTTTGTACATATTTGGTTTCATGCACACGGCCTTCAGCCTTAGAAACGATCGGCCTGTTCCTCCTTGCCATCTGAAGAATTTCCAGGGGAAGATTTTTATTTATTATTTGCTCAAATTGAATGATGAAATGACTCAACTGCTAATAAGATTGCGAAACTAAAAGGGCTGTAAAATGCTTGCTTTCTACTGCCAGCTGGACAGCCAGCTTTTTTATCACCAAGTTGTTAAGGCTTTCATTCAGTGTGTACCAAAATGCCTCCATTGGGGCCAGTGGAAGAGACCCAACATGCTGATGTTGCTGTGTGCATGTCACATCGTCAATGATATCAAGTCTCCTGAGAAAATTACCGAGAGAAACAGATTGTGATTAGAACGGCGGCGAGAGACGACGTGGATCTCACGTCAGTGTGAGGGAGACTTCACGAAACTGCAGCTGCAGAAGCATTGCTGACTTTTGCACATGAGAAAATAGGTTGCAGAGGGGGGGTAAAGCTTTAAATGCATCGCTGCTTTATGTTTTATTCATGGTTTTAAGCTAGTAGAGGTTAATGGTTTTGCATTATGCTTCGCATGGGTTAATGGTTTTGCTTTATGGCCACTTTTATGAGACAAAATTTGAAGAAACGATGCAACTTTTATAAGGATGTTAGCATAAAGAAAGGATTTTAAGTGTTAGGTGATGTTTCGAGTTAAATATTCTTAGATCTTAGAAAACCTGGAAAGAAATGACTTTGGTTTGTGCGGCTGCTTTCATCGCTTCTTCTGTAAAACTAGATTGACTTTTGACCATAGACATTACTTTCTGACTATCTTGTTTTTATACCCGTCTCTCTTAAAGGATACGTTAATCTGCATGTTATAAAGGATCAGTGCTTAAAACTAATTTATGCATACCCATGAGTATGCACTCCTATTTGGTCACATCTGTTTCATCCACAACTGCAAACTAAAGATTTTTCCTAACAAAATGATGCGTTTCATTTTGTATAACATAATTATGAGCTTGAGCCAGTTGATAGACCCGTCTAGACTGCTTTTAGCATAATAAAACGTGAATTACAGTAGGCGCTGCTCTGCTGGCTTCCTCTTTATGCAGGAGGAAGAGTTACAGCACCTATTCAAAACAATTCATGAGCTATAAATGCAATCATAAATTTCAGTGTTTCCACAAAAAGTGGTGTATAATTGTGTAGTGGAAGTAAAATACCTTTGAAATTGTTTTCCAAAGACACAATCAGCAAAGTGCGATTAATGTGTATTCAGAACCTGAGTCAATATACTGAAGTTATAGCTGCAAGTCTGACAGAGTGTGTCTTGAGCCACTTTGCAAAATTGAACAATTCCTCCAATTCAAGTCAAATAAATCAAATTTGATTTAAAGCATCTGAGAGCAGTAATTTCTAAAACTGATTACAAAGGCCTGACTAAAACGTTCTGAAACCATGTTGCTTCTATATTTACATATATAGTTATGTAGTGCTTTATGTTGGTTTAAACTCGACTTCAAGGTTGCATTGTTCAAAAGTTTAATAATAACATCTGCATGGTAGAAAACTCTACAATTCATTTTGAATATTAAAGTTTGTTGTGTTGCTTGGATCAACAAAAATGGAAATTTTAGAGAAATTTTTTTCTGATGTTCTTTTCTTTCTGCATTGATTGCAAACACCAAACTGATTAATTTCTCTTTTGTCTCCCTTGCTGTTTGTTGTAAGCACCTTAAACTGTTCACACAATTGAAATATAATCAATACTGCTAATGGCTTCATTGAATGATTTCAACAATTTGAACAAATACAATAAATCTTGACTAAAAATCGACATGAGGTTGTGACTATTGACATTGCTGTTAACTTTGAGCTGCACCAAAGTCACAACTTTGTAGCACATTAATTTCTAAGATGATAAAATAAGTAAAATATCTCCACCCAGACTAGTTTTTCTTTCATCAAGGTTATAAGAAAACAGCCGTCACGCTCGATCCATCACTGGAACTTTGTTTCTCTTGTAATCTGTTCATTTAACATCTCTCTCTCTCTCTCTCTCTCTCTCTCTCTTTCTCTCTCTCTCACTCTCTCAGAGAGCCCGGTTCCTGAGCTGCTGTCAGAGCAGACAGGTGAAGCAGCAGGGGAGATGGGCTGAACTGAATGCCAAGCCGTTGGCATGTTAAAGAAGAAGAAAAAAGGACCAGTCTGGTCAGCTTTCCCTCCTGAGGTTTGTGTCAGGTCCTTTGATTTCCTTCAGAGACATTCAGTATAAAATGAGAGAGAAGTTCCTGAACAAAGCAGAGTCTGCCCAAAAGACTGCTCTGAATTGCAATCTTCAACTTTGAATGCATCGGCTACATTTAGGTGCCTGAAAGCAATGTATAAACACCAGTCGGTGAGTTTCTGTTGAGGATTTCAAGGCAAGACATCATGTGTGCAATTCAGTGGTTGTTTCTGACCTTGCCATCCGGGTTTGCACACAGGCTTGACTTCAATGTGAATCGCCACATCCTCTTTTGCTTTCTTCTGACCGCAGTCAAAGGCAGACACCATAATCCTGTAGCTCTGCTGCTTTTCATAACTCAGTCGCTCTGTGTTTCTGATGTTACCTAAGGGGGGAAATGAAAACAAAGAGAAAGAAAAAGGGATTATTCCTCAGCTGAGGAAACTGCAATTATATGCCGAGTTAAATAAAAAAAAGGAAAAAGAGGCAAAAGCAAACCGTGGAACTGAAAGGAAAATAACTTTTAGCCTGATGCCTCAGTTGAGTGAACTTCTATTGCACTGAAAAATAAACAACCTCCCTGTGAAAATTTTGTATAAAGCAGGATGGACAGATTGTCTTTTTCAGTCTGCATAAAAGCAACAAATGACTTTAGACCGATGTCACTTGTGCAGCCAAATGTTACTGAATTCAGAAAACAATGTAACAAAACATAAGATCTTTATTGTTACATATTCATGTTTATGTGGAAATTCATCTTTTAAAGCCACACAGGAGGCTTATCAAGGCTTAAATGTTGCCGATTTTCTCTCTTTCTGTGTGAACGTCCCCCATTTTCAGTCACGTTTGTGGAAAAGTTAAGATTCAACATCATCACATAGTGACAGAGATATGAGATTAAAACATTTTTCTGGCCCTATTTTTCCTCCACTTTTATACTCTCTAAATCAAAGAAATGGCAGCAAAAGTAACCTTATTAAATAATAAAACAGCTTGAGCCTAAAGGTGTGGTTCCACTGCAGGAAACTTTTCCAGGAACCCAGGAAACATTGCTGAGGGGAAATCAAATTTTTTGGATAAATCCTAAACTAAATGTGCAGCGTTGTAGTAAGAGGATGCAAAAAATATTTCTTCTCACCAGTTTATATTTTCTATTGCTTATTAGGACTTTTGTAGTAATATAAAAAGCATCCACTGATGCCGCTTTTCAGATAGTTTGCATTTGAATGCACTGATAAAAAAAATCCACCAACTTCAGTGAAAATATTTAGTTAAAATAAGCACAGACTCTCACCATCAGAGTCTCAACGGAGACGGGAAAAAAAGAGAGTCCCGCTCTCATTAAAGCCTTTTAAAGATATGTGGACTGCTAATGTCATGATTATTTTATAGTGTTTATTTTCTGGAGTACAGATTAAAAGAAATCACAACTGTCCAGGATCGTTGATCATTCAGAGATACCGAGTTGTTGCACTACTGCACGTCTGTGTTGTTACCGTTTCAACAAGACACACATCTCACAGGCTTTAATTATTAAAGATCAGCAGATTGTTACAAACTTCCTCTGAGCTAGAAATTATTTTTAATGCAGTTTCAAAGCTTAATTGCCGTGAAACTGTCATAAACTGTCTTTAGATGTTGCCATCCCAATCAGACCTCTCCTCATCTTTTCTTTGGTTTTCCTGCACAAAATGTCAAGATGGGGCGTAGTTAATTTGAAAATCAATCCAAGTACAGATTTCCGCACAGTTTGGAGTGGCAGTCTGGGGCTTTCAAACCATAATCACTGAGAGACAATCTGAAATTGATGCTGCTTCGGTCTGATTTCACAGCCTTTAAAGTCACTCTGGATCGTGTGGAGAGTCTTAAGCGTCAGAGGATATAATCTAAGAAAAATGGCCTGGTTGTAATCCCCGCTGTTGAAACGCGCCCAACAAATGACTGAGGTTCCCAGAAAGGTTGCGGGACTTAAGTTTGGGCAAAATCTTTCAGAAGCCAATACTAAAAATCTTCAGTAAATGGCTGCTTAGATAGATATGCTTCAAAATACATCTTGGATCTTGCCATGAATATTAAAATAATAATTGTTTAGACATTCTAAAAATAAAGAAAATGAGAAGCACAAGAACAAGCATTCTCTACTACTGGCCATTTGTTTAGTTCATTATGCATTAAACTTAACCTAAATCCAAACTAGTCATTTCTAGGACATGTCATGCATTTTAGCTTTTATTAACAAAAAAAAATTATACATTTTTAATCCTTTTACTTATTTTCCAGGGATTCTATGAAGCCAGTTTGGCTTGAGCTCAGGTATCACTTTTTGGTTTTCTTGCAAACCCAGGACATGTTTAGTTTAGTTTTTTTTAGCAACACTGAAAATATCATTGCTGTCTCAATCTAAAGGCTTGATGGTACAAAACCCCCTCACTCTGCTTCGGTAAAGAGGAATGAAGGAAGCGAGTGAGATCCAGTCGGCTCAGAGAACATCAGAATGTAAAAGAAAGATAAGCTGACATGACAGAAGAAGACAAGCGAGGAATCAAAGTCAGAGAGGGAAAATCTCTTTCCCTGACAGTCTGAGACCCAAATAAAATAGAAACATATATCAACAATGTTTCTGCCACTTAACAGGTGGAACAAGCTAATTGTACAAACAGTAACTGATTACAGTTTGTTTAGAGTCATTTATTGTATTTTATTTAATGTGTAGGGCCTTAAGCTGGTGGACTGATGTTAACCACCAACTTGATTTTCTCTTTTCTTAGAATACATACAGTGAACCTGAATGTGTCTGTCTGAAGTCGACCTTTTGAGACGAAGATACAAGAGTTACATGCATGGAGACTTGCTGATATTTATCACATGTTGGGCTTTTTAATAGCAGGACAGTGTTGGAAACGAGGGATGTTGGAGTTGTGGGTTAGGGTTAGGCGTTCGCCCCGTCTTGGCTGTCGTAATGTTTACATTAGGTGCTTATTTGCAGAGAAGCTGGTGATCAGTTATAGATAAAGTGCTACAAGTGTGAACCATGCACTCAGAATAAAACATGTATTTCTAGGAGCTTTACATGAAATATGAAAGTAAAACATTGGAAGAGCCGGTCTTGCTTTTCTACTGTGACAAGAAACATTTTAGAGGCTCTATTCTCATACAAGAAGACCAAGAGTGGCAAACTGTCTAAAACAGCCTCCATTTCCTAAAAACTATCTCCTTATATTACCATTATGTCAAACTTAACTATGGTCTAAAGTTGAATAAGACCGCATTCACATAAAAAGGAAGTCTGCCTTACTCTTAGTCCTTCTCTGACTAGCCGTTAGCATTAGCTTCCAGGCTCAAGTAATGTGCAGGTGTAGTACTACCTGTTTATAACGTCTTAAAAAACCTCACTTAGAAAATCTGCTATTTAAGGACTATTTTTTTTATCATTTTAATGGCTATTTGAAATAGAGTATCCCTGATTCATTTTCAATTCACTCTCTAGTCGTTAATAAAATGAACTCCACATCTAACATTAAGTATTTGCTGCAGAGCAGTTCAATTACTTTTTCTATTTTATGCTCCCTTCCACATTACGAAGTTACCACGGCTCTACAGAGGAAATCTAACCAATAACCTGCGGCTTACCCTGCTCTCCAAGCAGCATCATTGAGCGAACGAGGAGAGTAAGTCAGACTGGTGTCAAATACAGAGAAAAAAAAATACTTGGAGATTAAAATCACAAAGCAATAAGACAAAAAAAAAATATTAATAAAAGCATGAACCACCCAGAGAGAGGTGAGTAACTGCAGAGAAAGTTTGTGTTTCTGTCTGACTGAACAGCAAATACACACACACGCACGCACACACACGCATGCACACACACGTGCACACGCAGTCTGCCTTCAGCTTGCCTTACACTCCACTCAGATCACGCCGGGCTAGAGGCAGCCTAAATCCCAAAGTGAAATTTTATACAGACAGATACGCTTTAAATAGTGCATCCAACAGAAATAGAATACAAGCATTTAAGCAAATAGGACAGGTGGGAAGAAATAAATTAGCAAATGACAAAAAAGAAACAAGTTTTGGTTTTGTGGTAGATTCTGTAAATGTTCAGCAACTTTGGAGAGATAAAATGCCGACATATTTTGCACTTTTTTAAATTGTGAGAAATTCCTTTTTTCATTTTGAACCCACTTTAATAGTATATCTTTGATTGCTAGCTTCCACAGAATGCTGAGGGATTTGTTTTCAAAGTTGGCCGCATCTATATTTAGCACAGACGTTTCATGTTTACATAAGGTTTGCGAGATCACAAGGAAAACATGTACAAAAGAGAAAATGTCCCGTTTCTCTCATCAAGCCATTAACCATTCTGTTTGTGTTTAAATGAGGCAGAAATAACACAGTTAGGAGAAAACAGCCTGCTGCTTGTAATACAATTTAATCATATATTCCAAACGATATGCTTATGATTGCAGAGGAGTCCAAAGGGGCTGAATCACAGAGTATTTCTTGTGAGGGCACTGTAAACCTGGTTTAAAATTCAGAAAAATTAAGAAAAATTTTCAATTTTACTTTCTTGAACTTGGTCTCCTTCATATTGAACAGTTTATTTTCCCTCTTATAATACAATACCTCACTTCCCCATACATGCATGCAAAAAACTTACCATTGCGGTCTATGGCAAATGGGGTTCCCCCAGTCACAATTTCATAGTTACAGATCTGACTGTACTGCGGTGAACAGTCCTGGTCCCAAGCCTCCACCTGAAATTAAGTTCAGACAAACGGTCCTTTAACATGTAATATCTCAAATAAGAGACATAAAAAAATAATAATGGAGGAAGTTTTAAAACATTTTAGCTAAAGGCTAGTGTTCTCACTAGAGATGCACCAAGAAAAAAAAAAAAAAAAAACAGGATCTGATTTATTCACTACCCCCTTCACACCATATAAAAGAATGACCAAGAAAAAAAGAACTGACATTGCTTGGTGATTCAGTTTAACGACCCCACAATCAATATCTGAATAAATACCTGCAGGATGCTGTCATAGATCTTGCCTTCAGTCACTGACGCCTTGTAAAGAGACTCTCTAAACACGGGGCTGAACTCGTTGACATCATCCACCTGAATGTGGACCACAGCCCTGAATTCAGGAAGACAAGATGAAAGAAGGGAGCCCATTGTAAAATATGGACATAAAAAAAAGCATGGATGTTTGATTTAAAAAAAAAAAAAAAAAAAAGGCAAAAAGGAGTGCAATGATAAAAGAAAAATAGGTATGGAAAAAGAGATGACAGAAAGAAAATTTGAGTCATGAGTGGGGACTGAAATGCCCCAAAGTTTAATTTGTCGTCAGACTCACGAGCATGAGAGTGTGCAGTCTTCAGGGTCTCACAAGCGGCAATGTCAACGCATTTGTTTGAGAAGAAAATGACAGCGTGCCAGCTCAATGTTGCCACATCTTTTGATGGGATGTGAGAATGTGTATTGGATCTCTGGATAAAGTTTATGTGTCATTGGTCTGCTTATTAAACTATATATAGATATGTATGTATCATATTTGCATCTAAAAGCTAATTGCGCTTTGATTAACTGATGCAGAGCAACTATAAAATTCAGCTTTCAAGAGGATTAATGGACGACATGAACAAAAGAGTAAGAGGAAGCACAACGATTATGTAGATTACTGCGATCTTGCAGGAGTGTTCCCGGAGTAGACACTGAGACAAACCGACAATGAAAACAGGAACAAAAGCCAATTTCACAAGAGGGCGATAAAAGGACAAAACGAGAGGGCAAGGCCAAAGTCTGAAAGCTGAATATGAAGGATTTAATAGGCAGCTTGGCATAGCTGCAGGCTAGAGAAATGATTCTATACAGTAAATTAAATTAGAGATTTTGCTTTCACCATTAATGATTTGACCATGGCACTGAAAAACCTAGTATTTAAGAAACATATTTTTTCTTTCAAAACAAGACCTTAAGTAAAGTTATTCTCAAAGTACAGAATCCAATCTGGATCCGGATTGAACAGCAGGTGAATCCAGATCCGGACCCCAGCCCACATTTTCAGGTAAAGAAAATGTGTATTTTATGAGTCATATTTTATTGACTCATAAAATATGGTAATGTAAACAAAGTTAAGTTAAAATAAATGTCATATTTCTGTCGTATAATATGTAGGCAAATATAACAAAGAGGATTTGCTCTTCACAAGCTTAAGAGCTCCTGATAAAGAATGTTCTTTATCATTTATTGTATAGCAACGTTTTTGTTAGTCACAAGAATGTGCAGCTCAGTGTGTTTTCTAGCACACACAAGGAAATCTCAACTAAAACTAATACATTTGGCCATTTTACTGGTGTTTCTGCACTAATGTCTGCAAATGAACCAACATTAGATGCAGTTTTCTTCAGCAGCAGTCGTCACCATCAACATTTTACTGTGCATCTAAGAAGGCACATCTGGCCAGTTAATGCCATTAGCCTAATGAGGAGTATTTAAGGTGTTGTGCTCTGTAGCGTGACACAAAGCAAAGCCACACACACAAGCAGACATACGTGCGCTCTTTAATTTGAATTTCTCCTGAGAAAGACCATCACGCATCCTTCTCTCTTGTTGCTTTTTTCCCCCCCACTACAGAGCAGTAGTTTACTTTAGCATAATTCCAACTCTGACTCAAAGAGCAGAGAGTTTGATTTGATGTTGTCCGCACCACTTTGCCTGTCTGCCAGTCTAATTCCTGAGCTGCAAAAGCAAAGGCAGACAAATCTCATCGAAAGGCAATAAGCACAAAATATTCTTGCATAAACAAGTTTTAGATCCGTCTCCTGTACTAATTAAAATAGATAGTGATAGTTTATATGTAAAATATTGTAGCTATTGATATGGATTGTTTCTGTGAACTATTCCTCTTCGCTGATTAAGTTTTCTCCTGATTGACAGCTAACAACACACTAGAAATGTTCATACGTTCCCCTACTGCTTGCCAGTGTTGCATTATTTTGTATTATTTCAGCTTTTAATTTTGTGTTGTCTTATGTTCCTCTTCATAGAAGCTACATCTGTCCAGGCATTAATTGCGACTGCTGCCAACAACTTCATGTTCTCCTATGTCTCTCCTGGACAACGGCTGAGCTTTTGCTGCGACTAGCGTTATGTGCCGTCTACCAACCAGACTAGAAAACTGTCTCCGACTTGTCCGTTTAGCTTCGTTTCTGTTCTAGATAAACTTTTTCTCTGCCACAGAAAGTACTCCTCCTTTGTGTTTCTTTTCTCTTTTTTTCTTTTTTTCTGTCTCAAACACCCAGTCAGCCGTGGCAGGTCGCTGCTGGAGGCTCCTTGCTGTTGAAAGGGAGTTTTTTAAGGCCAACATCCAGAGTTACATAAAGATTTGTAACCCTGGCGCTGGACTTACTTGTGAGATTTTTTCCAGTTAGCTCCACCGGGGCCGGCGCCGCAGTCGTAAGCCTGGATGATGAAGGTGTATTCCTTCTGGCTCTCACAGTCCACATGACTGCTGGCTCTCAGGACTCCTTCTCCTGATGTGCGATTCAACACCACTGCCTCAAAAGGGGCATCCTGACCAAAGATCTTGAAGGAGCAAATCTCCCCTGGGAAGAAAAGAAAAAAAAAAAAAATGAATTCAACCTGGTGGCACAAAATGAACAAATTGAGCGATTGATGTGTTTTAGTGAATGATTCAAGGGTTTATGTCTGTTGCTGAGTCAGCTAAGGAAGTAATTTTAAAAAATAAAAAAGTATTTAAAAATGATTGTTCACCAGTAAAACCCTTCTGTCATGTTTGGAAAACAAAAAAATCTCACTCTGGCAGTGTCTTTTGTGTGTTTGCTGAAAATAAACCCTCCAAAGCCAAAGTCTGATCTTTGGCTGAAATTCTTTGGCAGAAGATAGAAGAAGAATTTTTATATAATTTTGTATAACATTGTATGTTTTGTCTTCCCCTCCACACACACGCACACACTCATTGCCCTCCCAGAGTAATATTATCAAACCCAGCAGTAGCTCTGAAACCACTCAGAGAATTCAAACATGTGGGTAATGAATCTGAACTAACAAGAAAACACAGCAGCTGGCTTTTTGCTTTGTTCTTACAGTGCAGCTATTATTTCAAATTTCAGCCTCTGTTTCATTTCTCTGCACAGAAACTTTGTCAGCTCCTGGTGAGCTGTGTGGAGAATTATATTGCTTCGGATTTTTCTTCGTGAGCACCAGCTGACTCCACCGAGTGAAGGTATATCTCTCACGTGGCTTTAGAAGTTCATTTCATGCACAGGTTTTTGACTCTTTGATATCGAGAAGCGCTTTGGAAAAGAAACTAAAAGAACGTTTCAGCGGTAGAGGATGCGCGTCTAAACGTCCAAATCCCTTTCCAAACTTTCCGCCAGTCACGTTTTGAGATCTTAGCCTTTTCACGAGCTGACTCAATTGTTTGAATCCAGTTTTTCTGAAAAAAATAATGGTCCTGTCGGCAACACAGGGCTTCGAGGCGACATGTATTTTCACACTTAAAGTCTGTGCAAAGTAGGCAAAGCAATTGCAGAGATGCAGTTCAACACAGACGTATGGAAAATACATTCTCAGCTATAAAAAGCAGGAAGGAAAGAATAGCCCTTGAACCCACTTCCACTTGCAAGTCTTACATAAGTGGAAAAAAAATCCCCAATAATATGAATTTAATATAGTGGTGCTACCTTTACGCATAAACCTTGACATTCTGGTGCAAAGGGGGGGAAAAGATGTTTCTACTTAACACTTTGAGGATGAATGCAAATCCATTTTCTGCTCCATCTGTTGCAGGAAATGCATTTCCTTGGATTGCTTTTTATATGAGAACATGACAGAAGTGTGGAGCGGAGGAAAGGAAATGAGGACAAATTTGATGGCCCCAATGTATATGTAAATTGTTGTGGCAGATATTTTTGCCAACTAATGCATACTTTACACACTTGCCGTTTTACTTTGCCTTACCAGACGGAACAAAGAATTTTCTCACCGCTGTGAAGCATCAGAGAAAAAAAAAGAAAACAAAAAAGTCCATTTCAATTATTGCCTCCTTTGCAGCATCTTTTGCTAAATTATTGGTACCCCTGAAACTTTTTCAACATCCCATCATGTTGTAGCTACAAGCTTTGACTGGATCATTCTAAAATAATAATAATAATAATAATAATATCAATCGCATAAAACCCCAATGAAATGCACTGAAGTCTGTAGCTGCAACATTACTGACTATTAAAGACGTTCAAGTGGGTTCAATACTTTATCAGAGCACTGCATGTCAGATAGAAAAAGATGCAATGTTTTCCAGTAAATACATATCGAAATATATATATATATATATATATATATATATATATATATATATATTGTTTTTGTTTTTTTTTTTCAGTAAGAACTTGACCCCTGACCATGCAATACTAATGTAGAACAGGAAATAAGTCAGCTGAAATGAATTCAATAGCAACAATCATCCAAAATAGATGGCGCTCCACAGGAAGCCCGAGTCCAATAAACTCCATCCACAGAAATGTCAAGCTGTCAGGAAATATGCATCTCATGAAATGTAAAATTGCTAATATAATGGAAGCGGACAGGATGAGCACGATTAATGAGAAAATGATTCTCCATGAGCGAACGTGTTGTCACAAGCAGCCAAAACTAATTTGTGTATTCCCTGTGTACAAAGGACTTGACAGAGCATTTAATTCCTTCCAATTTTATTTCAATTTGTCGAGTTTACCAGTTGCTCACACTTTGTCTTGAATCGCACCGAGTGATACATCAAACTCATCTGCATGTAGGTGAAACAAAGAAGGACTTTCCAATAAAACCGAGGGCCACACTTTTATTTCTTGAAGGCGTAGGGCGCGCGCCGAATTAGAAGGTGAAGACAAACTCTTGACAGCTAATGTATACACACAGGCGTATAAGTCTTAATTAAGTGTGATAAATTGAAGCGTGGAGAGAACAGGTTGGGAAGCTTCCCTTTTAATTCGAGAGTTTTGGAGAATTTAAAGTCCTTGCACCACAGCAACTGCACATCATTAGGAAAGAAAATGCATTACAAGCTGCTCTTCAATACTAGAACCCGAGGTTAAAGAAGAGCAGACAAACAGGATCTGTTTATTTCTTAGTATCTGCAAACACAATTGTGAAAACAATAAGAAGCGATCTCCGGAGTGAGCTTAAAGCACAAGCTCCCAGACAGACCTCAAAATAGAAACAGAAAATTTAAATCTCTTCTTAATCAAAACAGTGCTGACGATCCATCTGGTGTTTTTGTTCCTGAGTGGAGAGAAGGAGATGCAAGAAGCTCCCATCTCACGGTGGGTTCTGTGTGTTTGTGTTGGAGGCTGCGAACGTGGTGGGAGGGAGCGGTAAACCTTGATTAAAGGAACTTTCAAAGCATGCAGAGTATCAGTGGGCCTTAAGCCTCCCGTCCCTCACGCTCCCTCATTGCCCAGCTCACTGTCGTCATTACTGCTCCACTTTAATTAAAGACCGGAATGAACTGCACTTCTTTACTGAATCATTAACCACCGTAATACTTCGGCATCCACACAGCAATACAGGCCGTCTCTGTGTGTAACGGGTTTCTGCAGACTGACCTAAAAATGCAATGGAGGGTATATTTAAAAAAAGAAAAAAACTCAGCAGTGTTTTGTTTAGGATCTTTGTAACGTACTATGACAAGCCCCATTCGGCCTGCCAAACTTTCTTCTTTAAAATATCAGTGTAAAGAGAATTAAATTCATATGCATGCCACACTTTTCACATTTTTGAAAATAAAGTACCATTTTTCTTCAATATCTCATTATTGTACGGCGCCCCCTAGGGAACATCGAGGATTTTTGTTCAGTTTATGCGGCATAATTGAATACTGTAAACCTTTCTACTGGTCGCAGTCATACTTTCTGCTATACTCTAAGGTTTTCGTGAAGTTTGTTTTTCATGTGTATGTCATTGTGAAATATCTTTAGTTTTATCTTTTACTTTAGGATAAAAATGCACCACAAACCGATGATTTAAGCAGAAACTTAAGAAGGAAAAAGAAAAAAATACATCCAAATATTTGGACTATTTCTGAGTCATCACAAGGTAATAAGTCATCTGACAGTTTTGATTGTGTCTCTTTTATTTTGGTGGTCTGAATGGTTTAAATGCCCGTTTCCATCTCAGCCTGACACAAACGGACATAAACATGCAGTGAATAAATCAATTTTCAATCAGTTTTTTTGCACCAAAGAGCTAAGAATAAACATGTTTTCACTGAGGCTCTTTAAATGAGCATAGATTTGAAATTTTAAATTAACATTTGTGACTGTATACAAAACAGACAAGCAAATATTGCAGTAAGCACATTGCGAGGGAACTCAAAAGAAAAGGTTTCCCCCCCATGTTTCATCGGGGGCTCCGTGCTATTGCACTATTTTGTGTTGGTGTGTCATTTTAATAATAATAGTGTAAAATACATGGCAGTCTTTGATTTTATTAAGACTCTATGCAGATGAAAGAGCACTCTGAGTAACCCTTTTATTCAAAACGTAGAAAAATACCAGTAAGCCACTAAGTAGACCTGAAAACAAGTCGAAAGGAGCTGCTCTTCGGCTACTTCGAGCAATGAAAATGCAAATGGGAGGAGGAGGATAAAAACAAATTAGGGTTCATGGCCTTTCAATGAGCTTTTCCTCTGCTGGCTGTAATTTGATTTTATCTTCTCTATCTCTAAGGTGTATAATGAGGACACAATGAGGACAAAGACTGGCGTGCAGTTAACTGCCGTCATAGGTCTGGATATCGTTTCTCGACGAGAGATAATGAAAGTGTCGACTTTGGTAGATGTCAGCCGTGAATGTTGGCTCGAAATTTCTAAATCCTTTTCCTAAAACATATTCTTGCAAAATGCGGCCGAGACATTCTGTTTTAATGGCATCAATTTGAAAGGCATCAGGCCGGTTTAAATGTCGTTTCTTTGATTTGTTTTGATTGACTACGCAGGAAGCTTTCATCTTTCCATGTGTTTTTATGATCAAGCTAACGTTTAATTAGCTCCTTTGTTGTTTTTGCTCATTTTAAAGTTCCTCAATAACACAAAAGACACACCAATTAATTCAATTCCATCCAAAAACACTTCATTAATCCCAAAGGGATTACAAACTTGCACGATATTCAATTTGTGAACATCAGTCATGTTAATGTTCAGGCACCTTAGAAGAGCTCGTATTGGCTGATTGCAGGGTGAAGGTTTGAGAAGTCCAAGTATTTATAAAGCTTTGAACTTTGAATCACCCGAGGCCCGAAACCATCACAAAGGATTTCAGGCTTAGTGAGGTTTAACCTGGGGTTTGCAGGGACATGAATGCAGCTTAACGCCTTACAGGGCTAGATTGCCATGGTTACTTACTTTTGGACACCTAACTTACTCCAGACCCAGGTTTTATTTGAGATGAGCCACATTTGAAAATCCAAGGCATGGCCAAGTAACTCTGTTGAAAAATAATAATAATAAAAATAAAAAATAAAAATCCGATAATTCCTACTTATTGAAAAGAAAGATAAAGGTACCAAAAGAATTGTAAACATTTTTTTC